GCTCAACCATGCGGCCATTAATTCGACAAATCTGCCCCGCATGGATGAGGAGCTCAAGTCCATTGGAGAGCAATGGGCCACTGCCAGTGTGCAGGGCCACTTGAAGCGTTACCTGAGCGACGTTAATGTGTAGAGCTACCAAAAATGCACTGGTAGCATCTGGAATCACTTTAAAGTCCACCTTGTAGTTGTTCTAAAATTGGAAAAGTAATATTAAATTTAAAATCCACCATTCAAAACTTACAAAAAACTTAAAAAAAAACGTAACATAAACAGAATATCTTAAATACATGTGTCACCTAAATGTATCATAAGAAGTAATGAATATATCAATTATATATAATTAACAATCCAAATTTATAGGATCTTTCAGATTCGATTCAAATTTCCATTTGGCGCGAAACAACTGATGCCATTCACCCCGAACTCCCAATTGTGTACTGCTTACCCTCAGTGGCTTCAGCCAATTAAAATTTGTGTTTATTTTGTATTTATCAGTTTTAAAGTATAGTTTAAGGGTGATTAATAACTAGAAAAGGTTCTTCTATTTAATGTACAGTGTAATGTAATGCATGCAACTAGTAATTCAGCTACTAACGACTACGTTTGATGTAATGCCCGGCCCAACAGCCAGCCACGAATGATGCTTTAAATGCGCGCGTTCCACCTCAACGTCCTTCCAGTCCAATTCTAATTGTGTTTCTCGGCCTCGTTGTAGGCTGGCAGCTCCGACTGTATACGCAGCAGTCGCACATTGGTGACCAGCTTCCAATCGCTCAGCGGCTGCTCCTCGGCGTGCACAAAGCTGGACGTGTACGTGACCAGCTCCTGGGAGCCATCCTGATCCAAATCAGCAATTAGCATCGAGTGCTCCTGGTTGTTAATATCAGGCTGGCACACCATCTCATTGAGCTCCTGCCTGCAAAACTGCACAATGTTGCTCTGCGATGTGTTCTCAATGCGCGTATCGGCGCCCATGAAGAGCACCAGAATGACCGTTTCAGTTATGGTTTGCATTTTGTAGCTGCTGCCGCCGCCGCTACCGCTCACGGCGCTGGCCTTGGTCTGATTCTTGTGGGGTACGCTGTAGGCTTCACGCTTTTGGATTAAGTGTTCAAAAACGTCAAACTGCTGACTGGCTGTGGGGAATTCGTGAGGGGCTTCGCTGCGTCTCAGACGTTGCTGCTGTTGTTGCTTCTTGCTGTGTGCGGACTTCTCCTTGTCCTTGATGGCGTTCATGTTCTTGGTGTTACCAGCAGCTGTATTTCCATTCTTCTGCACATTGTTGTTGCTGCTGTGTGCGGGCGTTGGCGTGGTCTGTGCTGTTGGCGACTTCCCTGAGGCCTTCTCGGCCACATGCCACTTCCAAAACTTCATCACAAAGCCAGACATCTGGGTTTTTGTATGCTTAAAGTGATACTCAGCGGGCACCATGCCGTACATGCCCGTATTGGTGAAATTTCGCAGCACATGAGGCTTCCCATTGCGCACCTCGCTCAACACGAAGGTCACGTTGCAGTCTTCGGGGCAAGTGCCGCGATTCTCGACCACCAGCTCGCGTCCGCTCAGCGAGTAAATGTTGCGCTGCGAGTCAATCTCGCGGCGTTGTCCGTGATTGCGATGCTGCGCGATCTTGGAGGCGGACAGCAGTCGCTGTCCCACAATCGATTTGTTGGTTATCAGCCCATAAAGCTCCGCCAGCGACTTGGAACGCTGTTGATCCGAGTTGTTGGGCCGCAGACAGATGTAACTGATGTTGGCAGCCTCCAGCTGGAGTCGACTCAGCCGCTGGCAGTCGTGCACACGGAAGCCCTCGCCTATGGGTCTGCCATGACGCCCCGACAGCAGCCGCAGCACATTGCGCGCCTCCAGTTGGGGTGTCTCGTGCTTGGGTTGGATAAGCGACTTGGTGCGCTGCTCCAGAGACAGGCTGGTCACCAGCAGTATGTCCAGCACTCCATCGCCATCCAGATCGGGCAGAATGATCGGAAAATCGTAGGCATCGATTTTGTGGGCCGAACGCTCCTTGAAGCGCCAATGCCACTGTCCCGACACCGGATTGATGGCTCCCAGCTCCCCGTACTCGTCAATCACCAGACAATCTGTCTTGCCGTTGCTGTCCACATCGATGAGAGTGCAGTCCAGTGCCGCCGGCTCGTCGACCATCTCGTCGTACCAGGCCACAGCCCCGGAGCTGCCGATGAGCGAAATGATGCCGTTCCGCTTCTGATTGCTCGGCCGGAACTCCGGGAAGAAGGCATCGCCGCGGTACAGAAATATCAAATTATTCTCCCAGGCGCGCAGTCCATTAACCACATTGATGCCGCCTTTCAGTTCGATTTTTGTGTAATTATTTTGCCAGTTGTGGGTCTTGACGCGATCCCCCACAGCTGGGCAGGCACCAGTGCCATCCGCATTGCCGCAGGGCACCAGCCAGACAAATCCAAGCACCGCGAACACGCAGAGCAGCAGGGAGGCTATGAAGCAACTACGTCTGGCCGTGGACATGGGCGGGCGCTTGGGCTGCTCCGTGCTTCCGCCCAGGATGGCCACGTTGTCCGCTGTGGCATCGAATTCGCTGTTGAAGTTTGAAAACTCAGCGCCCACACTACCGCCGCCCAGATCGCTGAGCATCACGGAGCGGAAGGTGTTCTGCATGTTGGTCGTGTAGCTGCTCGTCGTGGGCGTCTCCAGTTGGAACCGCTGGTGGGGCTGTGGCTGCACCTGCGGCTTGCTCACAATCCTTGTGGCTGTGGGGCGAGTGGTGTGCGGTGACTTTAGCGCCAAAGTATTTGGCGGTATGCGACTGCGTTGCGATTGGGGCGTAGACTGAGGCGGAGGCAGAGACTGCTGCTGCGGTTGCTGCTGTTCGTTGTAGAATCGCTGGCGATGCTTGCTGGCGTTATGAATTTCAATCTCTTCGTCGGATTCGGAGTCGGTCATGGCCTGACTTAGCGGCGCATAGATTCCTTGGTGGGTGGTGCTGTTGGGCAGAGACTCCGTGTGAAGCATTTTAGCTGAACGAACGAAAAATCAATAAGTTCCAACGGGCAACGATGGACAGCGACAAACGGCGACAGGGTCAAATTTGGCGCACTTACTGACCTTTATTTGATGGCACAAGCTATCGCTGGTAGCTGACATCCACATAGCTACTATTTGTTGTATCTTTATTGGATTAGCCGAACATTAAATTCACAGGCACAGCCCCACAAAGCAACCCCAAAAAACAAAACCAAAAGCTATTCGCATTTGTAACGTATGCCGCCTGTTTACGTTAACTGTGACTGCTCGTAAGTGGTGTTGTGAAACGCGCTTGTTGCTTATCGATAGGAATGTGACCAATGGCAGGTCCATCACTACATGCAGCAAAAACAACAACAACCAGCGTTTGTGGTTTACGTGCGTGAAAATAAGTTAAGTTTTGATGAAAAAACAGTATTTAGGACATTGCAAAAGCAATTCCAAGTGATCCGTATGCTGCGACAAGGCACTGTGAAATTGGCAAACAAACAACGTGACAGTTAACAAGGGACAGAACGTAGTGAATTGACAAAAGTGAAAACGGCTCGGCAGTCATAGGAGAACGGGTGCCAAAACGAAAAGAAAGAAAGAGCACGCTGCCAGAAAAGCACACACAAGTACATACCACATACACCTACATACGCGCAGTGCACTCGACGCCCCTCCCACACATTCTTTAATTAGTTTGATTTTCCAGTAGTGAATAAATCCACACAACCCAAACCAAAAACCCAAGCCCCCCACCGTGCGAGACGTGCAATCCAACGAAAAGCAAACCGAAAACCAAACCCAATCACCACACACACATACACAGAGCAACCGCACACAGCACACCCATACATACATAGAAATTGTGTATATTGCGTAGCAGAGAAACGCCAACGTCGACGCCAACATCAGCCACTAGCCAGCAGCCACAACAAATAACAACAACACCTCCAAAAGGTATCCCCCCAAACGGGTGCCCATATGTCCACCTATACGATGGCCAAAACGCTGGAGGAGCAGAGTCTGCGGGAGTGCGAGCACTACATACAGACGCACGGCATCCAGCGTGTACTCAAAGACTGCATCGTCCAGCTGTGCGTCTGCCGCCCGGAGAATCCCGTGCAGTTCCTGCGCCAGTACTTCCAGAAATTAGAGCGGGTGAGTCTTCCCATTTCTTATTTATGTACTTTTTGGACTTGCGCTTAATTGTGGTAAATTGTTACACCTGTTTTTGTCTCTATAAGGTCTGAGTTTTATTTATGGATAAAGTTGACCGCTTTAACGCTTTGAATTCAAACATGCCCTCTAAACGTCATGTGCTATTATAACAAAAGAGAGTTTTGATTGGGTTTGCTATGGTATTCCTTTATCCTTCAAGCGAATACCAAAAGATCACTAATTTAAGGCGTTATAAAGATTCATAGATCACTATATAGTCAATTTGGTGTATCGAAATAGCTAAAAACATAAAGAGGATGTTGTGGGTAGGGCCATGTTTCCTTGGTCAATCGGTTGGTTAGATTGACTTTGGACCCCTGGACACGAACAACAGTCGCCTTGTCATGCCATGCGAAAGCAACAAGCAGTGCTTTTGGGTTGGTCAACTGGCGCTCTGTATGAAAATCAATATCACCTCCTGTCTATTTTAGGATGCAAGGTGTTAAGGACACACACATACGCCCCTGTCCATTCGGTATGGTGTTTTTGAGGGCTTAGTTTAAAGCACTTCCGTGGGAATGTGTGGGATAGCCACACAGAGAGATAACCAGAGAGAGAGAGAGAGAGAGAGAGAGAGTGTCTCCAGCCATGTACTAAATCCCAGGGGTAGTGCATTCTGCAGTTTGAATGCAGCCTGAAAGCTTTCCAGCAGACTACAGAGAGCTGCTTGCAGCCTGACAATGCAATGAAGCGCGCGCTCACTCTCTCTCTCTCTCTCTCACTCTCTGTTTGGCCTTTCATCTCCCCCCTCTCTCTTTCGCTCCTTCTGTTTGTGTGTCTGTGTGTGTGGGCATTCTCTCGGTAGCTTCTGCTGCTGTTTTGCCTGTTGAATGCCCGAGCCCGCATTCAGTTCGATAAACATCCTGACGCCGAGCAGAAGCAACTAGAGGAAGCACCGAACCCGCCACCTGCAGAGTCCGTCGTCGGAGGATTTGCTTGTATTTTTTGGTTTACGTGCCTGCTAATCGGTTGCTTTTGCGGCGCAATGGGCAACCAGCTGAGTGTGAACAGCATCCAGGATGCGGTCATGGATCGCCTGAGGTCGGTGGCGCTAACCACCGACGAGCATGGTGCAATGCGCATCCGTTCATTTTCCGAGGGCGGCGTTGGCGGCACCGCGGGCCATCATCATCATCAGCATTGCAGCGGACGTGGTGGACGCATCCTGCGCGAGAGCAGCATCGATGGAGGCGTTGCTGTCTTTGATGCACTGCTGCGCGATGAGCACGAACATCGTCTGAGCTTGGATGCGATGCATCGGGTGCGTCATGTGCGCACCTCTTGCACTACAATACCCGAGGAAGAAATTGTAAGTGATCCCAAGACGCTCCATTCCGCACCCCTCCCTCTGAGAAATCCAAGAAATTGCGCTCTGTTCCTTGTATGGTCAGACTAAAAGCTCTTATGCCCCTTCACTCTGTAGTGCGAGAGCGTGCGCGTGAGCAAAGCTTTGATTACAGTTATATCCTGCCTGCCAGTTGCGGCGTCTCTGCTGTGCTCCTACCTCGGCAGAGCAAAACAAAGAGAGCCCCAACGAATTTTGAATACCCTTTTATAGCAGAATGCAAGTTCTCATTTTTATGTGTATTTTATATCCCATAATGCAGCCTCACGAGGAGTTCAATCCAATCCATCCTTCTACGCCCCAAGCCGCCTCCTCGCAGGAACTGGCATTAAATGAGAGCTAAACCAGCTGAGTGAGGAGAGCTTCGGCCATGGCTAAAATTGCTACTATTTGGATAAAAAAGAAAGATCAATGTTTAAATATTTACCGATATAGTTTTTGAATAAACATATTTACAAAGCTAATGGATTTGTATGCGCATTTCGAGGGGAGAGTTTAAAGAGAGGAAACATCTTTGATGGGAAAAAGTGAATTATCTGCGCTTTGCAGGGTATGCAAAACTTACCTGACGCACTTATACACACACTCCTACTCTATTTCTCTCACTCTCTTAAGCTACCACTCCCCGCACTCTCTTTCACTTGCTCCTACTCCTCGCACTCTCTCTCTCGCTCTTTGTTTGGGCAGCTTTTTTTGCAAGTTAATATCGAATTTGCACTTGAAACTCGAAAGGAGGCAGTAAAACGAAATCAAAGCTGACTAGCGGCAGCTTCTCCTACTTCCAAAGCTTTTTGCCAGCCGCCCGCTGCGTCATAGCTGTATCTCTCTCTCGTTCTCTGTGTGTGTGCGAAAACTTTATATTTTGGCTGTATATTTGTATCCTTTATCTGTGCGTGCGTATTGGTGAAGGTCATCCTGTCGTAGTCGTCTTCTCTCAGTCAGAGTCAGAGTGCTTTCCTCTTCGGTTGCGTGTGTGCTCCTGTCTCAGTTGCCGCCAGTCGTCCGTTCCTCTCGTTACTGTGTTACTGTTACTTTTGCTTGAACCGTTGCCGTTGCCATTACCGTTACTTTAACCGTGTGTCTGCGTCTGCGGCTGTGTCTGCGTCTGTTGGCGGCTACATCAGTCGCTGATTGATTGCCTTTGGGGGGTATTCCGGCCTGATCATCGAATTGTTGACCACTTAATGGTCGTGTTTATAGCCGCGTTACGCGTTACATCCGCCCTCTCTCAGTGTTACGACCTGCCAACGGTTCGTGTTCGTCCCCGGGCCGTGGTGTTTGCAGGCCCCCAAAAATTGTGGCAGACAAACAAGACAAGGCTTTACGACTTTATCGCCATTTACCGCCAAATTGGACCATAAAACAACACAGACAACAAATCATAAAAAGTAAAGCAAACGAAAACGAGAAGCAGGATGAACCAGGAACCGGAAAAGGCAAGCGGATCAGGCGCTGTGCCAAAAAAGGTACACAGGGATTTAACCTTCAAAACCTTCAAAATTTGTTCAGCTTTTTGTCTTTAATTGGGGATATTTTTCCTTGATTTATGGCTGGGTTTCAATTGGATATTTAAATTTGGTCTATGTGTCGCTCTGTAAATAATTGAGGAGCTCCATAGCCCACCTCCTTGGTCAGGATTTTCAGACTTGTGCATAAATAAATCATTGTTTGGGTCCGTGGGTGCAGGTTTTTGTTTTCATTTTGGGGTCCACTTCCATTTATCGAGAACCGAAAACTTGTATGTAAATAATACACTCGCCCCCACAGTTTCGTTTCCATTGAATGCCCAATTCAGTAACAAAACTTTATTCTACTTGTGTGTATCTCTCCCTACGGCCGGATGTGTGGCGACCTTTTGTGTTCCCTCATCCATTAGACGGCTTATAAACGCCGCTTGCCGCCTCGCAGACCCGCAGCAGAGTGGCCGCATGAATAATTTGGCTAATAAGAAAAGGAGGCCCAAAAATCTCAGTCCTAAAGTGCGGGAACTCTTAACGAACGTTTGGAGTACTCGAGCACCGAGGAGCAACAGTTTTTTAAGGAGCTTTGCATTTTGATTTCCTCTGAGCGGATGTTGGCCTCAGCTTAAAATAATTCATTTTAGAGGGAAAATTTAAATGTTTCCAACAAGAATAACTAAATATTCACACCAAGTAAAGCATTAAAGCTAAGGAATACAATTTAAATTAATTTTTAGAAACGTTTGTGCGAAAACTGCGAATGTTTGACAAAAGCTTGCCACTAGCTTTTGTCTTTATATTTCAGTGTGTACACGTTGCCTTAAAACAAAACGCCCACACACCATTTAACGTACAGTCAATTCAAAAGCAAATTAAACGCCATTAAATGTACAATTTAAAAGAGAATTTCAGAGAGATTTCCTCTAAGATCTAAGCTCCATGACGGTTGTTTGACTCAGCGAAAAGATGTCTTTAGTTTGTCGCCCCTAAAAACCACATGTTATCCTTTTGGGCATCTGACGTCATGTGGGGCATTGATCCAGCTACTTGGAGGAGCCCTCGGACGTTGCTCTTCAGCTGTCAATTTGCTTTTGCGACGATGACAGCTGTGAGGACGATTTCCATTTGTGCCTTATCATTAATGAGTAGCCAAGGACCAGCGAAGGGATAGCATAGATCCCAGTTAACGGTATTGGGACGAAGCCTTTGTTGTCACCAAAAATAATTTTTATGCAGGCAGGCTCTTACAGCAACAAGGGAAAAGAAGCTTACTGTGTAAATGATGGCTCAGGGGCAGCGGTAAGGGACAGGAGGCAGTGTCAGGAGCAGGAACAAAAAGTTCACTGAATTGGAAATTTCGCTGAACAAACTTTTGTGGGTGGCGTTGGGAACGCCCGTTTTCTACGGGTCTTTGCCAGGCTTTACGGTTGAAACATTTAAAGCGCAAAAACACGTCAACGTGGTGCACAAACACACACACGACTGGGGAGTGAGGGGCAGAGGAGAAACTGCGTCAAGTAGGGCGCAAAATTTTAATTAATTCGATTATAAAACGCAGTCACACACATTTTTAGAGCGGAAGAGTGGCAGAGCGGAAGAGTGGCGAGGAACCGAGGAGACAAAAAGCTTTTCCGCATTTCAATGCAGCGCATCCTTTTCCGGTGTTTCTCCTCCTGCTCCGTGTGGATGTGGGAGCCACTGTTCCATGAGTGAACTCAACTGTGAGGCGATAGAAAGTTATGGCCAATGGCCCACATTTCAGAGTGCCTGAAACTGAGGGACAAAGGAAATCCAAAATTTAATTTGACAAAAACCCACAAAAGAGAAAGACACACAGGAGTCAGAGGGATAATTCAATAGAGCAATTTGTGGCGACTGTGTGATGTATAATTCATTTCATTCTTTCTTTGGCATATGCTAATGTCCATTAGTCTCAGTTTTTGCTACGAGATTTATGCACAAACAAAGTACATGTCCTGTGCATGACTTGCAGCGTAGCAGTTGATCAACCCTTGATGATTTTTACCATGAAGCGATGAAAAATTGCATCCACTAACACCCACTTGAGAGACTCTCTGCTCGAGGCGCTGCTCAGATTGCCACACTTAACCTGTCATCCAACCTGCCACCTGCCCCAAGGCCCCCAAAGGCTTAGGCAGACACCGAGCCAGCTTGTAATCCTAACTAGGCGTCTGTGGAGGGCCCTTTTGCAGCGTCCTGCCCAGTGCTAATGAGAGCATTCCATAACACTGATGGTTTCCCCTTTCGAGTGCCCAAATCCGAGAGTGTCTGAGGCTTTCAGAGATAATTGTAATTGTTATTGACAATTTATCCAAAGAGTGCCCGTGTGCGCCCGTGAATTTGCATATTTATGGCCACACGAAACTATAAATTGCCTCGCCATAGCAAATCAAATCTGTTTCCGTTGTCGAATACTCGTAAACCGCCTACAAAATTTGAGTTTTTCTGTTGCTTTTTGCTCACGTTTTTTTTCGTTTTTTCTATACTCTTTCAGAGAGGAATTTAGCTAAGAGTTTGGGTAAAATGAACAGCCAAGATCTTTGGCATTTAGAAACAACAAACAAGCTGACATGTGTATTATTCATCTTTAAGGGCATAAAATGCCTCGACCCTCTTCTGCTAGCTTTTCTCTCTTGTTTTGCTTATTTTTTTCGAGTTATTTTTTGCAGTTTTCCATTTTGATGTTGTTATTGTTATTGCTATTGTTGTTGTCTTCTGTTGGCACAGGCGCTCAAATTGATTTGTTTTTCGAAGACCTGAGAGCTGAGAGACCTGAGAGGTGCGCGAATCAAATGGAACGAGCACTCGGCCTTCCATGCCCTCTCCACAAAAAAAATGTGTGCTCTTGGCCACACTTTGTGGCGCTCTGTGGTTGTGTGGCACCTATGCTCAGCTTTATGTAGTTTCTGTATGATTATCCACTTTTAAAATATTTTTGTAGCAACTGTTACTTTTATTATAATTGACAGAGCGGCCAGAGGGTCAAACACTGGAAGAAATTTACCAATTTTTACCCAAAGAAAGGCAGATTTCCTTTTGAAGCCTTCGCTTGTGCGTCGACAGAATGAATCTCGAAGCAATGTAAACATTTGGGACTGAGGATTATTATCCACCAATTTATCGCTTTCATTTTTGGGGATTATTTCTGATTGGTTTTTTCTCGCCGTGCATGACTGGGCGGGCGGGCGGCTGCTGCTGCCCACATCTCTTGGTTGGGGGACTGGCTGGCTGCCTTTTGGCCACAGCAACCTACCACAAAAGCAACCTCAAACGGTCTGCAGAGCACACCACACATAACGGTTCACACAGATACACACACATGTGTGTGGTGGAGAGGGAGAGCAGACGAAGATGAGTGGGCAGTGGAGGCAACTATTGAGCAGAGACGCGAAGCCGCGACGCTGCCGACGCTATCGCTGCTGCTGCTGCTGCTGCCGCCAGTTTTTGCGGCAAACGGAACGCGATTTCGAATTGAGTGTTCAGTTTGTGTCGCGCCTCCGTTTTGTAAATACGCGAAAAGACAGAGACATACGGCCGTGTCCAAGTCCAAGTCCGATTTGCGAGTAACGAGTACGACTACCCGGTCCGGGAAAAGCAGAAACAGCAACAACAACTACAGCGGGTAGAGACACAAGACACACAGATAAATACATTGTACATGCTTGTAGGACCCTGCCACATACTGAGTCGTGTTCCTGCAATTGGATTAATTAAGCAATTATACGCGACAGGAAGGCAAACAACAGAAACGAAATTTGTAGACTTAGGAAGCAAGGGAGAGAGCATAGGGAATTAAAGACTAGAAAAAATAGAATTAAATCACATAAATATGTGTGCTGACGCACGATCTCATAGTGATATATTTTTAGGATGTTTCTTTTCTTTTCTTTACTTATTT